ACAGACTGGAAGGGGGATGTGTCCCATAGGCTTTGGTGTGGCCACTGTGAGAACTGGTTGCTTGATTGAGATGGGCCCCCTTTGGCCTCATCCTGCTATAGAATTCCTTTTATACTCTTAATTATGCACACCACCTTGCCCTTCTTGGAGACAAAAATAAATATGTGAAAAATTATCCCTTTCAATCTTGAAATATGGTGTGTCTGTTTGTGGTGTACATGCACATGTGTGGGGTTGGAGAGATGGGCTTTGCATCACCACCTGGCCACAGAAAGTCTTGTTCCAACCAGCAAGACCATTTCAGCAAGAGACTCTTAAACTTGGGGGTCACAGGTTCGAGCCCCATGTTGGGCGAAAGAGTCCGACATTGCAAGGGTTGGAATAGATGGTTCTCATTGTCCCTAGAAAGGGAAGAAATGGAGGCAGTGAGAGATTTTACTTTCTTGGGCTCCATGATCACTGCAGATGGTGACAGCAGCCACGAAATTAAAAGACGCCTGCTTCTTGGGAGAAAAGCAATGGCAAACCTAGACAGCATCTTAAAAAGTAGGGACATCACCTTGCCAACAAAGATCCGTATAGTAAAAGCTATGGTTTTCCCTGTAGTGATGTATGGAAGTGAAACCTGGACCATAAAGAAGGCTGATCGCCGAAGAATTGATGCTTTTGAATTCTGGTGCTGGAGGAGACTCTTGAGAGTCCCATGGACTGCAAGAAGATCAAACCTCTCCATTCTGAAGGAAATCAGCCCTGAGTGCTCACTGGAAGGACAGATTGTGAAGCTGAGGCTCCAAGACTTTGGCCACCTCATGAGAAGAGAAGACTCCCTGGAAAAGGCCCTGATGTTGGGAAAGATGGAGGGCACAAGGAGAAGGGGACGACAGAGGACGAGATTGTGGGACAGTGTTCTCGAAGCTACAAACATGAGTCTGACCAAACTGCGGGCAGCAGTGGAAGACAGGAGTGCCTGGCATGCTTTGGTCCATGGGGTCACGAAGTGTCAGACATGACTAAACGACTAAACAACAACAACAACAACATTGTCCCTTCCAACTCTGCCATTCTGTGATTCTATACATCACGCCCAGAATGTTGCAAAAGCTTCTCAGGCTTTTCAGACATGGGGGAAGATTGAGTTAGTTGATTATAATGCTAAAGCTTCTTCTGCCCAGTTTTTGACCATTCCATTCACACTGCAGTTCCTGTGTTGCGGCTTTTCAGCTGCCATATCACTGTGTTGTGCTAAATTTCACGCACACCAGCTGGGCATGGTGTGACACAACAATAAATGTGACTTGACAATTTATTCCTCTACTCTCTACCCTCTACCCTGTCCACTCCTGTGTGCTTCTGTTCTCCCCCCCCCCCCACAAAAGTAGCAGGAAAGAACTGTATTCTGGTATAGCTCCCCAAATTTTGTTCTGCGATTTTCCGGGTTAAGGGGGCTGGAAACAGTTTTTTTTCTGGAATTGAGCCAGTGAAATATACTCGGAGTCGAGTGTGGATTTCAGGTTCTTTATTCAGCTCATAATAGTGAGGAATGAAAGTTCCCCCCAAAATATCTGCTTTATATACATTATTTACACAATGGGCCGCACTTGATTGGCTAATTCCGGGATTCTCCTGTAGGCCAATCAGGTTGCGGATTCGCTTCCACCTGGAGCTGGATTGGGTGGCTCCTGCGGACCAATCATACTGCTGCATTGTTCTAGAACCAATCAGACTGCTGCATTCTGAATGCTATTATTCTAGGACCAATCAGACTGCTGCCTTTTGGATGCTCTTCAACTCAGTACATAACAGGAATCAAATAACATGGAAATGAGTGCTAAATATATTCTATTAGTTGGCTTTTACGTCGAGTGAAAGCTCAAATACAATGCAGAAATCAACAGGTAGGGAAATGGAATGAACTTCTATGTGATGCAGCCTAAGTCAGGCTTCATTGGCTATCTCAGCAAATAAAAGGCCAGCCTTTGCACCTGTTTTTTGCCATTCACCTGCTGTGATTCCTCCATTGTAGGGGGTTGGAGTAGCTGACCTCTTGGGTCACTTCCAACGCTGCAATTCTATGATCACACCTGACACTACAGAGCAGGGGCTGCTCGTCTTTGGCCAACGACATCCCTAGCACGACTGCAAAAGTGCCATCCATCTCACGCGTACAAAGGGCTCAGCAGACATGTGCCGAGAGCTTCTGAGAAGAAGGCTTTCTGGCATGGGGAGAACAGCAGAAAGGACAAAGGGGGAGAAAGGAGCTGTTTTCAGTAGAAGGCAGAAGGGGGGAAGCAAATAACCTATTGAAATTAATAAGTAAAAGCTGAGTGTAATTTAATGTACACTACGATTTCTGCACTTGACAATTCTTTTATAGAGCAAAGACACGCACAGTCCATAATACAAATTGAGATCATCTTGACATGAAAGACACCAATTATGGGGAGAACCACTGAGAGGGAAATAATTAAGTTTCTTTTCTCTGCGGATGGAATCTCTCTCTCTTTCCACCCCTCCTCCACCTAAGGAGAAAGATGGGGGTGAGGTGGGGGTTGGACAGAGGCCATGAGATAAGAATGAACGAAACTATGTAGAATCCCATCCAGGGTCTGCCCAATGCGATTTTAGCTTCCGGAGGTGAAATGAATATTTTGGATCCCCCCCCCACTCCAAACTTCCTGCTTTATCACCTGAAGAAGTGGCCAGGAATGATTTCATTGCTTGAGAAATTTGATATTTATTTATCATTGCATTTACACCTCACATTTTTCTCCAGGGAGCTCAAGGTAGCCTTCATAATTCTCCCCCTCATTTACCGTATTTTTCGCTCTATAAGACACACTTTCCCCCTCCTAAAAAGTAAGGGGAAATGTGTGTGCGTCTTATGGAGTGAATGCAGGCTGCGCGGCTATCCCAGAAGCCGGAACAGCGAGAGGGATCGCTGTGCAGTGCTCCCTCTTGCTGTTCTAGCTTCTGGCTTAGCCGCTCAGTCCCTTTCCCCACCTCCCGGAAAAGCCCCCAGAGCCACACTCCCTTTAAAGAGCCGCACGGAGCATGTGTGTGGCTCTTGGGGGCTTTTCCCTGAGGAGGGAGAAGGGCAGCCCATCACTGACGGGCTGCCCTTCTCCCTCCTTGGGGAAAAGCCCGCAAGCGCCACACTGTGCTGGTCCGGGGGGTGTGTGTTACCATGCGGCGTGGTCTGAGTCCGGTCCTAGGTCGAGGGTATGGAGGCTGTCCGTCAAGTGTGAAGCAGGCTCCCAGGCAAGGAGCCGGGCGTGGTCAGGAACTCTGGAAGAGCAGGAGAGGGTGCTGGCAGGAACAGGTTACCAACGTTGTTGCTCCTGCAATGTGGGACTGGGCTGACTGGCCTTTATCTCCTCTGAGGCATAGGGGGGTCCCGGCCCACAGGTGACTTGCCTCTCCTTAAGGTGAGCTGACTTGCCTTAAGGTGAGCACTCCTCCTGTGAGAACTTAGTTCCCTCCACCTCTCTGCCCTGAGCCTCTGCAGCTCCGGAGAGGCTGGAGGGTTACTGGACCCAGAGGCAACCTCACCTTCCCCTGAAAGGGCTGAGAGAGAAGCACCTGCAGGCAATGGGTCCTCAATCACCTCCGGAGCCAGAGTGGATACATCTGGTGTCTGCTCCTGAGGATCCGGCACAGGTGAGGGCCCTTGAGGTTCAAGTCCCTGCCCCAGCTCAGCCGGCCCTGGAGGTGAGGACTCCTGTGCAGGCTGGGATTCCTCAGGTTCAGCCTCTGAATCGGATTCCCAGGCCATCACACACACACACACTCCACGTGGCTCGTGAAAGGGAGCGCTGAACAGAGCCTGGGATGCATATAGGCACTGCTCAGCGCTCCCTTTAAAGAATCCCCCCCCCTTGCATTCCCCCTCTAAAAACTAGGTGCGTCTTATGGTCAGGTGCGTCTCATGGAGCGAAAAATACGGTGATCCCAATGACAATCCGGTGAGGTAGGTTAGGCTGAAAGGAAGTGACTGGCACAAGGTTATACAATGAGCTTCATGGCTAAGTGAGGGTTTGAACCATGGTCTCCCAGGTCCTAGTCCATAACACCACCCTAACCATAACACCACACTGCCTCTCCATCTGCATATCCTGACATGGAACGACCTGATCTGCCCCTTTCGCAAAGCTCCGAAACATCTCATCCCCCCTCTGACTGTCGTGACTCCGTTTTCTTGGCAGTTTTAACATATCAAAATACACATTTGATTCGTGCGCTGGGAGGAAAAGGACACTGGAGTGCATATGTTTGAGGAAAAGAACTGGCTCAGTGCATCACCTGAGAGAGTAAACATGTTTAAATATATATTTAAATTTCTATTTTGAGATTTGTTTATTTTTAATTTTTTTAAAAAAGAGGAATTGGAATAGAACAGAACTGTGTGTGAAGAAAATGTCACAGGGAAGAAATAGAAACTCCTGCCTGAATTTGTGGCTGGGCTCGTGAATGCCAAAGGGTATAGAGCAGAGGTGGATAACCCACCCCCCTTTTAGGGGGCAAGGGCCACATTCACTCTTGGGCAACATTTTGGGGGCCACATGCCAATGGAGTGTGTGTCCAAAAGTGGGTGTGTCCAAGGGGTATTATTGGGTTATTGCTTTTATTTTATATTTTATATACTGTGATCTTTTTATGCCCTGAAACCTCTAGGTATAGGGCAGTAAAATAATAATAATAATAATAATAATAATAATAATAATAACAACAACAACAACAACAATGTGAGTGTGACTAAACCCCACCCTCTGTTACTCACATTCTCCCAATTACCCCCTCTTCAGCTTATCAATTCAAAGAATACAGGCACGTCCAACTCCCAAGAGACTGAGATCTACTCACAGTATAAAAACAATGGCAGTGATCTACCCATTGTCATTGGAGGATGGACCAGAGTTGTTGAGCTTTTTCTTAGGGAGCCTGGAATCATAGAAGTGTTGGGATCATCTCGTCCCACCCCCTGCCATGCAGGAATATGCAGCTGTCCCATACAGGGCTCAAACTCGCAACCTTGTCATTATCAGCACCATGCTCTAACCAACTGAGCTACCCAGGCACTCAGCTGGTGTGTGATCACCCTCTCTGTATTCCTCAAAGGATGACGGGGAGAGAGCAACTGGCATTCCCATCAGGGCATGAGACTCTGCCCACTGCAATGCCGTCTCTCCTTAAACTGCCCCCCTTTGCCCCGCAAGGTAGGCTCCTGGGGGGAGACAGGCGAACTAATGCCAGTGTACTGGAAGAAGCAAAGATCACCAGTGTTGAAGCAATGATTCTTCAACATCAACTTCGTTGGTCATGTTGTGCGGATGCCTGATGATCGTCTTCCAAAGCAACTACTCTATTCCGAACTTAGAAATGGAAAGTGTAATGCTGGTGTTCAACAAAAGAGGTTCAAAGACTCTCTCAAGGCAAATCTAAAAAAATGTAGTATAAACACCGACAACTGGGAAACACTGGCCTGCGAGCGCTCCAGTTGGAGAACAGCCTTTACCAAAGGTGTCATGGGCTTTGAAGACACTCAAACTCAGGACACAAGGGAGAAACGTGCTAAGAGGAAGGCATGGTTGACAAATCTATACCATGATCAACTCCCGCCCGGAAACCTATGTCCCCACTGTGGAAGGACGTGTGGATCCAGAATTGGCCTCCACAGTCACTTACAGACTCATTGTTAAAAACGTATTTATGGAAGACAATCTTACTTGGCTATGAGGGATCGCCAAAGGAGAAGAAGAAGGGAAGAAAACATGACCAAGACATCCAACTAAGGATTAGCAATCTCTAGATGGGAGGGATGGATGACTTACATCAGCCTTGCATGCGACATCGCCAGACGCCTCCTTGCCCCTACCTGCCGCATGTTTAGTCTGAAGTTCAGAAGGGGTGTTTGCCTTTTCAGTGAATGAAACAAAATAAATCAGAAGATAAACTCTCTGCCTGTTGATGTCAGGCAAAGGCATCTTCATTGTACTCTTTTTGGCACCCAACAAGAACGTTTAGCCTGCTCAGATGTTTAGGAAGTTGATGTGAGTTTTAATATAGTTTTAGCCTGGCATTGCTTCCACTTTTCAAAAGTTTTAAATTACAATTGTCTGGGGTTTTCCCCCCTTATTGGTGATTTTATTGTTTTTTCTTTCTTTTTATCTGAATTTTTATCAGAAAGTTTCAACATAGAATAAAATAAAAACCAAACTAATCTAAATAAAAATAGAGGGAGGGAAAACCAAAAAAAGAATGAATCAATGAATGAGAGAGAGAGAGAGAGAGAGAGAGAGGAACAAAGAGAGAAAATAGAAGGGGTGGGGGAGAGAGAGAGAGAGAAATAAAATACAGAGCCCTCTATGAGTGATAGATCTTAACTCTTATTTCACACAAATAATTTTCTGAAGCCTTGCCATTGGGAACCTGTCCAGACTGAAGGCTTGAAGAGGGCTTGGCTGATCAATAAACTTAAAAAAAAAATATTTAGAAGATCCCTGATTTCTTCAGCAGAGGGCTCCACACAGAATACTTCTTCTTCTTCTAACTTGCTAGCCCCAGTTTTCTTATGGACAGTTGCTAAAAACATCTACCCAAGCAGAGTGCTAGAGAAACATGTTTTTGTTTTTTTTGTTTTTTTGCTTCTGTAAGGCGCTACTATGAAGAGTTTTGAGACGGGTGGGTCTTTGTCCCCAGCAGCAGTTTTTCAGGAGATAATCTTTGAAAGCTAGACAGAACCAGTTGCCCCATCTCTACTTTCAAAACTTTTCTTTTTCATCATAAGGACTAGAAACCTGTGTTCGTTTGTTTTAAGGACAATCCTGTCTCATTCTGAAACCTCTCTCTTTCAATCGGTGTTAAATTTTTCTCTAAAACCTTAGTTTTTAGCTTGTTCAGTTTAAAACCTGCCACCTGACCAAATTCTTGAATTAATTCTAAAACTCTTTTAGTGCTAGATTCTGGCTCCTGTAACGTCAATACTAAATCATCTGCAAATGCTCTCAGTTTGTACTGTTTAGCTCCGACCTGAAGCAGTTTTTGAACTAGGAGAGTGGCTTATATACATAAAAAGGCACAAACTACATGTTATGATGTCAAGTCAAAGTTCCAAACAGTGTCCTCCATCTTTGTAGCGTGATGGAACGATTGATCTAGAGACTTTCAAACAGTTCCATTCTCAAGCAGTGTGACATAATCCTGTGCACATTTATATGAAAGTAATTCTATTGCACTCAGTATAATCTCTAAGTGGGAATGGGTGAGTCTGCCAATTTTGGTTTCTCTCACTTTCTCCCTTTTCCAATCACAAGTTTGTTTCTCCACATTTCCACATCAAAAAAAAAAACATTTTCTTGATAATCCATCTGCATTTTAGTGCAGTATTCTCCCAACATACATATTCTGCATGCAATTTTGCCCAATATACATTTGTTTTCCAAAGCAATATCCCTTAATATACTGCATTTTTTGAATGTCATTTTCGCTAATATGTGCATTTTAATGCACCCTATATTTATCTATTTCATAGATGAGCCCACCTTTTAATCCAAGGAGCTCAAGCTGCTGTCCATTGTTCCACCCTCTTCATTTAACCCCCTCAACAGCCCTATGAGGTAGGTTAGGTTCAATGGCAGAGACTGGCACAACGTCAAGAAGTGAGCTTCATGGCTCAGTGGGGATCTGAACCCTGGCATAAGCAGCAGCTTGCAAGGGAGATTTTTGGGGGGGGGAGGGGACATTGTGCACATGACATCAAGACATTGAAAGGAGCTGGGGTCAGAGCCGAGGGGCAGCCACGTGACTTTAACGTTTGGCTCCGCACTTCACCTCTGTGCTTTATGGACACTTGGGGGGGCCTCACCCCCACCCCACCCCAAAAGTATTGGGGGTCCCAAAAAGACTCAGCCCCCAGGAGCTGGCATCCCTGAACCCTGGACTCCCAGGTCCTAGTTCAACACTCTAACCACTGCACCACATTGTCTCCTAACCCTAGTGTGTGCAATTGCATGCACATTACTTTGTTCAAGAACTGCATTGCAAAAATTAGAGACAGGCAAATTTCTAGGAATGGATGTGTTTTGGCTCATGTACAGTCATACCTCATGTTATGTCTGCTTCATGTTACGTTCTTTCAGGTTACGTCCCGCGACGACCCGGAAAGGGTTGCTTCCGGGTTTTGCCGCTTGCTCATGCGCAGACGCGCAAAATGATGTCACGCGCATGTGCAGAAGTGACGAATCACAACCCGTGCATGCGCAGACGTGCCACTGCGGGTTGTGTTCTTTTCATGTTGTGAACAGGTCTCTGGAATGGATCCTGTTTGCAACCAGAGGTAACATTGTATTGTTCCGGAAAGTATAGATTAGGTAGACCCGCCTTGAAATGCGAACTGATCCAAATTCTGCCTCCACATCTCTACTTCTAAGTCAACATGCATCGGAAAGATCCACAACTCAAGCGAAAAGCAACTGTCCAGCATCCTTTGTGTGTGACTCATTTCAGGAGATGAGTCAAAGGCCATCATGGATTGGATTATGGAGACTCACTGGAGATGAGGCTACGCTTGTTCTCCCAGTCCTGCTTCCCAAACCTGCACGGATGTCAGCTTTAACACGACGATGTGTGTGCATGCTCACATGCACGTATGTCAGAACACGCACCCCTCCCCCACACCTCTGGCCATCCCCTCCCCGAGCGCACAGCAAACACGACATCATTTTTCATGTCCAATTACAGCCGCGGCGGTGCCACCGTTAAAAGACAGTGCAGGTACTCCTGTCAGAAAGGGTTTGAGTTACAAGAAGCGATGAATTACAGCAAACCCTTTTTCAATTCTCTGCAGAAATGAAATGTCAGAGCTTGCCGCTCTAAATTTCTGAGCACCATCAGCTACAGGCCAGCAAAAGAATCAGACAAGGGACAGACACTTCACGGGATTCTGATTCTCTCTCCCCTCCCCACCTCTTAAGGCTCCCTCTCTCCCTCCCTCCCTCTCTCTCTCTCCATTCCTTCCTTCCCTTGTTCTTCTCCCTCTGGCTTTGAAATGAATTTAGAACAAGGAAAAAGAACACCTAGGAAAGGGGAATTGAAAAATCTAAGAGGCAGCATATCTCTCTCTCTCTCTCTCTCTCTCTCCCCTGCCAATTCCTTCTTCTTTCAGGCTTAAATTTCTTCTTTCAGAAAACTTTTGGAAACAAGTCCTTTTGAAGTCCCCCATGTTATCTTCCACACCATGTTTTCTTTAATTCTTGCTAATAAATAAAAAACATTTTTTTAAAAAATCAGAACCCACCCACCCGGTAATATAAAGGAAACATTTTTTATTTTATATAATCCAACTCTAAATGTATAGCTGGAAATGAGAGTAGAGGAGGCGCATAGGGTGGTATTTCCCTTTAAACACTTTTTAAAGCTCAACAGTAAGAACCAAATGAAAGCAGCAATACAGCAGGAATTGTTGTTGGCATCCGTCTGTCTCAAGAGACAAAGGAGTGTGTTTCCAGGCTTGAAGTCAAATGGCTGCGTTCTCAGCACCAAAGTGACCTCCCCGTGGTGCAAGCCTGGGCAGTGTGGATGGAGGTCTTGGGCTGCCCAGAAGACAATACCCTCGTCTAGGCCACACTGATGGAGTACAAAAGAAAGCAGAGAAAGACGTTTGACACCAGCCGGGCTTCAGGATTTGCCAGAAGCACCACCCAACGGACTTAGATTTGTGTAGGATTTGCTCTTTAGCCTTTTCTTCTCCTGGAGATTTCCTGCAAGGCAGCAGAATTTTAGGGCCAGAGTTTTCCTTCTCCTCGAAGCGCTCCCTTCCCAGGTGGACCCATCTGCCCCTCACTTCCCTCTACAGCAGGGGTCGGCAACGTGCGGCCCATGGGCCGGATGTGGCCCACAAAGACAGTTTTACTGGCCCACGAGCCGCCCCTGAACTGAGCCGCCCACTCGGCGAATCCCCATCCTGTTGCACTAAACTTGTGCAGCGCGGTGGGGGGAATCGCCAAGTGGCGCTGGAAATCGTGTCTGCACATGTCCAGATGCCAAAAATCGCTTCTGTGCAGTCACGGTTTTCAGCGT